ATAATAATAATAATAATAATAATAATAATAATAATAATAATAATAATATATGTGGGATATATGGGTACTTTAAAAAAGTATTCCCGTATATATTTGCGGATAAGCCCATCTATGGGGAAGCGAAACCCAATTTTTTGGGTGTATCGTATTTTGCCATCCATCTGACAGAGCCTCCTGCTCCAAGAGGAGTCGTCATTGGGGCAGAAGAGGAAGCCGTGGAAAGGCCTTCTCGGTCACAGCTCCCCCCTGCTCCTTGAGCAGGAGCTGCAAGTCAAGGAGAACCTCCAGATGATGACCCAGTTCCACAGCGTGATCCCATCCAGGATTAAAGACGCAATCACCCTCTCATGGGACGTTCTTCGAAACCAAAGCTGCACCATTTTGGTGGGATCAAGCCTGGTCCTGATCTTCTCCATCCAGGCGCTGAGAGAGCACCTCCATATCGTCCCGTCCATCCCAAGCTCAAGATGTGAAGTTGGACATCTCTGCGCAGGGACCCCGTGCTAACAAATAAACCTCACCTGGAGGCTTCATGTGGAGCCCTGTGCTACCCCACCACTAGTGGGGGGCTACAGCTTCCCTAAGACCCTGCGAGGTGCAGTAGATCCTGGGAAATTAGTCCAGCGATAATAAAAATAGGGAACTGGAAGGTGGACTCCTTGCAGGAGAGGTCACTGCTTCGAAAATGTTTGTACCAATTTGTGGTTTGGTAGCCTGCCAGCTACACTGCCATTCCCACAAAGTGCAGAGAGCATTCTGGCTTGCGGTCCTGAATTTTATAGCACAGCGAGGAATAAAAAGGGCACAAGTTGAGCTGAGGTACCTCCTGAAATGACTTCGGTCTCACAAAAACATAAAACCACGCCATTATTTAAAAAGCACGCTTTGAGTTAAAAATCATTTATTTTCAAATAAATACCTATATTAGTATGAACACAAAAAATACAGCTTTTTTTTTTCTTTTTGCTTCATTTGTTTTCCATATAATTTAAATGCAGCATGATCAAAACATAATGAAGAGTAAGGATCTGGCTGTAATAAAAACCTTCTTAGTACTTCTGTTGGTTCAGCTCAGCTTCCATGCTAAATTATTAGCTATTTTACATTTTTAATGTGCATATATTTAAATGCTTGAATGGCACACCAGGACTGACCAACCAACTTATTTTGCATTAACCCTCCTCAGCAATCTGACTTCCACTTTTCCCTTAAATACATTTCCAGGACAATTG